TATGTATCCTTGAAACTATAATTTAATACCTTATTAATTGGGTATGATCTTTTAGGCTACTTTGACGAATCCAAACCTTATCCAAATGAAATTGTCGGTAACACCAATACACTAAGTCCAGAGAATACAATCTGGATCGGACAAGATTAACTCGTTCTCAATACAATTTTTAGTTTGCTATCCCTCACAATAATTCCATTTATTGCATAATCAACAATATCGAGACAAGCTTGGTTAATACTAACAAACACCTATGCCAAACCATCTCGTAGGCGAATCAAATAGGTGAAAAACCAACTAAAGTAGCACAATAAAGTATCCTTGGGTATTATCGAATTTCTTAAGACTATCAAAGTTAAAACAGATGAACTTGCAATTGTTAGTGTATCGATAAATGATGAAGACCTTTTAAATAGAATTCTTGAGGGACTTGGAGATGATTGTAATGAATTAGTTCCTAAAATTCAAACTAGAGACATTCCAATCTCCTTTGATGAACTATATGAGAAGCTTCTTACCTTTAAAGCATCTCTCTAAGTTACCAATAAAATTGAATCTTTTTATTTTTTAGATATTACTAATTTGGTAAATCGCACCAATGATGGGTAACAAAACTCATCAAATTTTAGTCAAAACTTAACCAATAACAATGGTCGATGTTCATTCTTAAAATCTAGCCACAATAATGGTCGTCGTTCATCCTCAAACTTTGCTCATAACAATACATGCTTGAATTCCAAATTTGATCATGGCCCCTTAAAACCTTACCTTGGCTATTGTTAAATCTATAAAATGCAAGGACATACTACTAAGCGCTATCTCTCATTTCGATTCATCTTGGTTCATTCCTCCAATACTACTTGCTCCAACAATGCCAAACTCTTCATGATAACCCAAAGCAAACTTTACTACCGAGCACCTTAAGTCCTTTAACATGGCTCTTGGATAGTGATGTTTCTCATCATGTCACCTCCGACCTAAGTAATCTATCATTTGATTTACCTTATAATGGCTCCAGTGACATTATGATTAGAGATGGCATAGGTCTTTCTATAACCCTTGGTTCCACCACTTTCAAAACTTTAAATGCTCAATTTTGTTTAAACAATGTTCTTATAACTATCGTTTCAATTTTAAAATTTTGTATTTTTAACAATGTCTTTATTGAATTCTTATCGTATTCTTTTATCGTGAAGGATTTTCATATGGGAGCAATGCTTTTGAAAGGCCAAACTAAGGATGATGTATATGAGTGGCTAAAATCCCGACCTCTAATTTGCCTTTTCTTATGTCAAGACCACTTCATTTGAGTGACATAATAGATTAGGACACCTCGCTCTTCCTATTTTAAAATATGTTATCTCTAGCAACAATTTAGATTTATCATCATTCACTTTATTGAATTTTTCTTGTAACGCATGCCATTGTAATAAGAGTCATAAACTCTCATTTTCCGATTCTACCATTGTTTCTCAATGAACTCTTCAAATAATTTTCTCAAATGTTTGGACTTCATTAATAATTTCCTATGATGGGTGTAAGTATTATGTTTTTTTTTAATCATTATACCAAATATATCTAGTTTTATCCTCTAAAATATAAATCGGATGTAAAAGACATATTCATTCGATTCAAATCCATTATGGAAAAACACTTTAACCAAGACATCAACACATTATATTCCGATAATGAGGGTGAATGTATTACTCTTTCAAATTTTCTTGCTCTTCGGGTATATGTCATCTCACTACTCCACCATACACACTTGAACATAATGGTTTCTCTTACCGACATCATCTTCATATTGTTAAAACGAGTCTCACTCTTCTCTTCCATAAATCTATTCCTTTAACTTATTGGTTTAATGCTTTTGTCTGTAACAATGTATTTGATAAATCGAATGCTAACTTCTACATTAAATCTCTTTTCTCCTTATGCAAAGATTTTTAGTTCTCATCCTAATTATCTAAAACTCAAAGTTTTTTTTGTTGTCTTTGATATTCATGGCTTCATCCATATACTTGTCACAAACTAGACTCTTGTTCCAAACTATGTGTTTTTCTCGAGTACTCTTTGTCTTAAAGTCGGTATTTATGTTTTGACCCATCTGCATCCAAAGTCTATATCTCTAAAGGTTTGTAGAGTCCACTTTTCTGTTTAAATTTTTACACATCCAATCTTCACGTCCCGAGTTAACTATCGTTTCAACTTGGATACCACCGATAATAAAAATAAAAAACACGATATCTCCACTCATGCCATCATCTCGCATTTGACATTTAAACACAACTCTAATGTACATGTTTAACATAATTACTTGTAACAAACCAATAATTTGACCATCATGAAATCCAAACACGGACTATAAGACCACACCATCTATGAGAATAAGATCCAAAGATCACATTCACAAACCTATTCGAAGCTTAACCATCGTGTCCAACTATCTCAATCCCATAATTTTAAACCCATGTCATTGACCCAAGCTCTCAAAGATCCCAAATGGCATCCGGCCATATCCGAAGAATATGATGCTCTTGTTTGGAATGAGACTTGAGAGTTGGTACCTTTTGATCCTAGTAAAAATGTTATGAGTTGTAAGTGATTTTTTTTGCACTAAATGAAATTATAATGGCTCTATTGATAGGTTTCAGCCTTGTTTGGTTGCCAAGGGTTTTCATCAATGTCCGAAGTTGATTATTATGGCATTTTCGGTCGATAGTCAAACATACAACAATTAGACTTATTCTTAACTAGATGCTAATAACACCTTCTTGCAAGGTCATCTTAATGAAAATATGTACATGAATCAACCATTAGGCTTTATTAATCGAAACTTTCTATCACATGTTTGTAAACTCAAGAAGGCCATTTATGAGCTAAAGTAGGCTCTCCGAGTTTGATATCAAGAACTCCACACTTTTTTTCTTCAATGTGGCTTCAACAACTCACACTCAAATACATCTTTATTTGTGCTTAAATTTAGTGGCCATTTATTTTATTTACTAGTCTATGTTGATGATCTCATTCTTATAGGTGATGATGCAACATTAGTAAATCAGTTTGTTTAGTCACTTGCTAAGTGGTTCTCACTCAAGGATTTTAGACACCTCTCTTGTTTTCTTGGAGTTGAGATCGTTCCTAACAAACATGGTTTTCTACTTTCTCGATATAGATACTTGCTAGACTTTCTTGCTCGTACTCATATGTTTGATACAAAATTATTTCAAAGATGTCTTTTTACAAGCTCCACACTTTCACTGCACTCAAGGGCTAATTTATCCGACCTAACAGAATTCAGAGCAGTTTAAGTAGTTTCTAATATCTTCTTCTCACTTGACCTGACATAGCCTTTATTGTTAATAAATTCTCTCAATTTATGCAAAAAACCATAATTGAACATTGGACTTTTGTTGAGCACCTACTTTGATGCCTTTATGGAACTATAAATCATGGTTTTCAGCTCTACCGTGACTCCTCTTTTTCTTTACATGCATTTTTTTTTTTTTGCTAATTGGGTAGGTGACAAAGATACTTTCTACTCCATTGGTGCTTACATTGTTTATCTTAGTAGAAATCCAATTTTATGGAGTTCAAAGAAACAACGAACTGTAGCTTATTCATCTACTAAAGTCAAATATTATTTGATTGCCTAATACTACTATCGTAATAAATTAGGTGTTCTTGTTACTTACTAATCTTGGTCTTCAGCTTCAAACCTATCTTGTGATCTACTATGATAACATTGGGACAAATCAATTCTGCTCGAATCCGATTTTTCATTCTAGGATGAAACATGTGGCTATTGATCTTCATTTCATTCGTGATCAAGTTCAGAATGGGACGATTCGGGTTGCTCATGTTTCCTCTGCTGATCAACTCGCAGATGCTCTCAGCAAGCCACTTCCATTAACTCACTTTCTTTTTTAAGAGACAAGATTGGCCTCTCTTGTCGAGATCCATCTTGACGGGGTATAATAACAGATATGCTTATCTGTCAAAGACTTCATCTACTGTTGTTGCTCGTCTGAAAATATGATTTGCTATTATCATAACTAATTAGATAAGATTTTGTATACTCAACTTTGTAATTCTGTTTTTCAGCTATTCCTTGTAACTAGGATTCAACTTGTAGCTTTACTAGTATATAAATTGCTCCATTTCATTAATAACTTAAATACAAAGTTCTCTTTTTTTCAACTTTTATTACTATAGTGATGTCATAGTTGGTGTTGATTAGATAAAAATAGTTTTGAATGTATGTCGTATTTAATGAAAGTTCTTTTTGTCTCTATGGTTGGTGAAATTCAGTTTTGAACACCCAAGTTGAATGTCCAAGCTAGGGCCGTGTGGCGCATTTGCAAGAGTGACTGTGGTCACTGGGCGACCGGCTCGTCCATTAGGTGTTCTCGGGATGTAATCTAGACTGGTTCAAGAGTAATATGATGATACATATCATCCGGATGCATGAGTTTTAATGAAGAAAAAAAAAAAAAAACGTATCTAGGGTAAATTGAAATCAGACTGGAATTCTGTGAGCGTGAAGTCTTTAATCATAATTTGTGCCGGCACAGTTGTGACTGCAAACTTAAGAAAATATTTATGCCACTAATAATGAATTTTTGGAAGCACTGTTTATAAAGATCTTTTTCTTGATCTGTAATTGTGTTATAGCCATAAGCATTGGAATGGGATGGAGTAAATTGTATAATCATCTTCTGAGTCCTACAGAGCTTTAAGGACAAGGTTGTGGGGTTAACAGGCCAAGTTCAAGGCATGCCCATCTAAACCTAAATTTGCCCTATCAGAATAGAAGGATGGAGTAAATTGATAGAGTGATTGACACTAACACAATCAAATCTATAACATCTTCCTCAACATTGCAAAACTCTAAGCATTGAAAACTGCATCATTTCAACAGAATCATTCTGTATAAGCTAAACAAGTGTTTTTTTGCATATGGATATCATAGTCAAGTAGCCAAAATGCACTATAGTAAACTATTTGAATCCCTTTCCAGGCACCTTCCAGAAAGCTCTCCTCAACCTTGGAATTCTCTTTATTGGTCTCAACAATGTCAAATTCTTAGCTTCACCTCGGTAGCAAACTGGATAGATAGGATTTTCCTCCTCAATTGAGCTGACATTATTATGTGGATGCGATTTGCAGGCATTTGGTATGACATTGCCTTTGTATGCGTTGCAGATATAGGCGATGAAATTTTCATAGTCCTGCATTAAAAGTACAGTTATGGCTTGCACGCAAAAGAAAACGAGAGAAAACGAAGGATTAGGGACTGACATTTCTGAGTGGTTTAGTATCCACAACTATCCAAGGCACAAACGTATGAGGTGGATTAAGATGTGCAGTTTCATAACCATATAAAGCTTGAAGCTGCATATAAGATATAATCAAAGCAAAGAACAAGCAAATAGCATTGAAATATTTTCGAATTACTACATAAGAATTAGAATAGGAAATGAGGAAGTTACATAGTACTTTGATTGTTACCTTTGCTCCAGTTCCATTGTTATAGCAGTCCAAAATAGGTTTTTCAGACAATCCAAGGGAGCTGAAACAAGATGGCCAATTTCGATGCCTTCCCTCAATAGCCAGGAACTCAATGCAGTAAATCAGTGCATAATATTTATTCTGCATCAGAGAATACATGAATAAGTCTATTTTGAAACAATTTATTCTAAAAACATTTGGCAATAAAATAAATATGCATACGGTGATTATAGCTATGGAAAAATAGAAAGGAGGGTCTACCACATCATCCCAGACATTGATGGCGCAGGCTTGTATTGTATTCAGAACACATTCATCATGACCATTCTGCAAATTTTGGAGAATTCAGAGTTGCAAAAGAGAGGGCAAAGATAGAAAAACTTACTACTAGAAAAGATAAGGTGGCAATTTTTGTTGGTTGGGGCACGTCTTTATCACTATTAATCCGGCATTAGCTAGGCTGAAATTTTCTGTTGCCATTCTTCAATGGAATGAATGTGTGAAGGCCTAATGCAGATTAGAAGTGTTCTGGTATAATTTATTTTCTTCTTTCCTAATTATAGACTCAGCAAGATCAGATGCTTAACCATGAAAACAGAGAAAATGAGCCCTCGTTTTTAATGACTTGATTCATCATGTTGAGTCGACAAACACCAAAATGAAGCCTCACTTTTCTGATATTCCACTGTCCTGTTTGGAAATGTAGGATCTTACAGCTCTTGGTTCTTTGAAAGTTAAAACAGATTTTCTTAACCTAACGTTTCATTATAAATAATTTTTTAAGGCTCAATCCGTTGAGCCTGAAAACAATTTTCTCAAGTTGTGGCAATGGAAACTGTAAATTTCATATTCTAGATGGTGATATAGAAAAAAAGATTTAAGTTTTGGCCCTACCAGAGTGCCATTTATATGGCACGGGCATATGACAATTTAAAAGCAAATGAAGATCGAGAAGATGGATATTACCTGACAAATGATGGTGTTGTCAGTTTTGTTGACGTGAGCATTACCCCATGGCACCATCCTAAGATTGATGATGTTGATGAGATCATCGTCGAAGACCCTAATTAGATTTTGGACAATGAAGTTCGTACAAGATGGACATAAAGCTTCATAGTAAACTGAGAGGTTAACCTTTTGAGAATTGATAGAGCTGGATGAATCCTTGATACCACCAAGATCTAAATGAGAAGCAGCATGAGATGGAGGTAGAAGGAAGATCAATAGGAGAGTAATGATGACTGAGAAGACTTGTTTTCCAGAAACCATTTTTGTCAGCATAGTACATAGATGCTTCTCCTCAGTTTTTCAACTTGTAAAGGGTAGTAATTTTGATGATTATAAACTGACAGCAATTCCCTTAGTTAAATACATAACCGTATTATCCTAAACGGCAAAATGACCATCAATTTTGGTGGTTAAAATTTTTGTATTTTCCCCTATTTTTCGATTATTATTATTTTCCCCTATTGCTCCTATTAGCTTATAATTATTTTAGCTTGTACAAAATGAGCTGTCGGTGCCAGCAGATTTCATGATTTAATGCTTCTGCAGGCTGTGCTGGTTTATTTTCCTTTTAACGTTCTGATCTTCTTTATGGGCTTCATTTCTTTTTCCTCATTCTTTGGATTGGAAGGATCCTTGTAAATATAGTCTTAGCTAGTCGACGGCAAGGCATAAACTTTAAAGCCGAACGAAGTGTGGGATTAATGCCACTTTAATTTACAACGACCAAAACCCAACAGCAAATAATATTTCTCATTGATCACAATGTTCATTGTGGATGAGAAATGTCCATAATTTTGTGTTTCCCAACTAAATATTACACACACAATCATTAAGCTCTTGAAAATCGCAGACATTAGCCCACATACATAGGTCACAAGACTTTAATACAACAGGAGAAGAGTTAAAAGGATGGGACATCTCTGCCTTTAGGCTCAGAGTACACTGCATTTCAAGTCGAATAATAATTGCAACGGATATGAACCGCGTCTTTTGAATCTGTCAACAAAAGCTACCGAAGGAAGATGAGAATTTGATGTTCAGTTGATAAATGGAATACCATAATTTAGACGATCCTGAGGGCTAAGATGTACAGAATGAGAAAATGGTCCCAAGGCTCAAGGGATCACAGGAACAATAGTTGGCCAGCTCAGACTCACTAATACAGGAATCAAGATTACCACTTCATGAAAGAAGGAACCAAGGTTACCATGTGAACCAACGACGGCTCCAGTATTGGAATTAGTCTTCGCTGTGACTGTAACAAAGCATTCATTAACAATGTGATGAACCTTTAAATGGGGTAGAAAGTAACATGAAAGTTACAACCACCCAGAATCCCAAGTTAATTTGTGCTACAAACAAATGACAACTTGTTTCATGTTGTATTCTAAAAAGTCAATCTGAATACTATAAATCAGTTGGAAAATGACCATGCTCCAACTAGAAGACAATCTACAATACCATATTAGGAAATCAAGATTCCATCTTAGTTTAATGAGACAATCAAGCATGGCTTGATCTCGAGGCTTTTATTGCTGGTGGTGGTGCTGATGATGTCAGGTTGCTAGTTTGGTCTACATAGCAAACTGATTTAAACGGATTTTCCTTCTGCAATGAATTGTTCTCTAGAGTAAGTGATTTGCAGGCCTCTGGCATTTCAGTCCCTTTATAAGCTTTGCAGACATAGCTTACAAAGTTCTCAAAGTCCTGCATCCACAAACAATGTCTTGCAATTTAAAAGAGAAGGAGACATATTACCATCAATTAGAGACTTGAAATATATTTAATGGACTAACCTCTTGGAGTGGTTGATTATCTACAACCACCCATGGAACAAATCTATGTGGTGGATTAAGTTGGGCTGTTTCAGCTGCATATTTTCTTTCAAGCTGCATCTCATCATGCAAATTTACACTATCAAAATGAAAGAAAACGGGAGTGGCCTGATAGGAGAAAATCAAAATGTTATGAACAAGAGTGAAACTGACCCCTTCCCCATGTCCACTTGTGTAGCAATCAATTGGTACCTTGCCCAGTCCACTCATATCAAAACAATTAACCCACTCATTGATCTTTTTTTCCAAGGACATTTTCTCAACACAGTGTATAAATCTAAAATGCCGGTACTAAATCAACAAAAAATAAAACTTAGTCCATCACAAGCTGCAAATAAAAGCAAACCCTAATAATGAATTCAAGGTGGGCAGTGGGCTTACCACTTCAGGGTATATGGTTATCGTGCAGGCTTCAATAGCATTTAGGAAACATTCATTTGTACCATGCTGCAATATTTTCACCAAAAAAAAAAAAAAAAAAAACCCTAATAATGAATTCAAAATAGTGAACTAACCTACAAAAAAGAAAAAGCTGTCATGGTACTAACCTGGCAGACAAAGCTACCATCAGGTTGGATAAAAGCATTGCCCCAAGGGATCAACCTGAGATTGACAATGGAGATGAGTCCTTTATCAAAGACTTTAACCAAATGATTCACTATGAAATCTGCACAATATGGGCATAGAGTTTCATAATACAAAGACAGTGTAACATTTTCACTACTACTTGTAGATGTGGTCAAGAACAATGTAGTACAAATGAAAAGAAAGAAGGTGGTGAACAGTGAGGGATTAGAAGCCATTTCAATGTACAAAGATTCTTCTGTAGCTTGTGATTTATAAATGGCAATGTCCTCTCCTCTCGTATTCTTTTTGCAAAGAGTAACAGTCACTTTTTAGTGGGGCTAGCTACTCATCAATGTAGTCTTTTTATGTCTTCAAGTTTTCTTGGCCCCTTGTTCGTCATCAAGCATTTACTTCCTTTTTTTGTATGAGAAAAAGAAAAAGGGGAACGGAAACTTCAAGGCTCTTAACACGGCAAGCGAATCAAAAACGGGGACCAGTTTTTGACCCTACCTAAAAAGGTTACTCAAAATCCTCAGAACAAAAAGAAAAGGAAAAGGGTAAAACTTTAATTTTGTCTCTATAGATTCATCAATGTTTCACTTCTACCTTTATAGTTTAAATTTTGTTAATGTTACCCTTCTAGTTTTCAAAAAATACCCCTAACCATTGAAAGCCTACTTTTAAAATTTTTTGATTTTTTATGCTTTAGTTGTTTTTGTAAGATATTATGACATATATGGGGACTTGAGGGGAAAATAATGAAAGAAAAGGAAGAAAAGGTAAAATAAAATTATGACAAAGTTAACTTTTTGTTTTAGTAGTTAAAAGAAAATTTTGAAACTTCTTAAAAATTATAGTGATAGAAATAGAATATTGATAAATCTATAAGGGCTAAAATATAGTTTACCCAAAAGAAAAAATTAGTAGTATGTTGCTCTTGTCCTTATGTATCATTTAACCTATGTATTTGTCAAATATTTTCAATTTCACCTGTATATTTTATTTTATTTCCATTTAATACATGTATTTTCTGATTTCTATAAAAAATCACCTAATAAGTAATGATGATTTAAATTTATTGTCAATAATATAATAAAAATATACTGAAATTACACATATTGAATTAATGGATCCCACAATCAACTCACTAATTTAACACTTGTTATTTCAGCATAGTGATTATGAGACCTGTAAATTTATTACATGCAATTTCAATCCTTCCTTACTTTCCACGTGAAGTATTATCCATAATTAATTTAGACCATCACTATCAATTAGATAATTTTAACAAAAATTGGATAGCACATGTACTAAACTGAGAAAAATTATAAATATGAATGTGAAATTGCATTTTTGACACACTCAGAGGTTAAATGATGGGTTGGGCTTTAAATTGATTAACGAAGGTGGGCTGGCTATAAAAAATTATCACAGTTCTAATGCAAGATTGGGCTTTAGCCCATTTCTTTGAGGCTTGTTTAAAACCGTTTCGAACTTAGTGTAGACTGTAGTTTGCTTATTACGCCCTTCCATATACATCACCCCTTTCGCACCAGAAATAGTCCATTCAATTTTACGAATTTTGGCCATTTATTATTATTTTTTTTTATGATTTTTTTTTTAACATATACTGTATGTTCCATTTCTTCTTAAAATCAAATCTAATTATGAAGAAGCCGATTCTTAAAAAAAAAAAAAAAAAAAAAAAGAACAAAAAAAAAAGAAGCCCAAATGCTAGTAGAATCAAGTCTACATGAACTTAATTGTCAATGATTCCTCATATTACATGAGCTAATGTGATTAAAAAAAGCATATATATATATATATATATTGAAGTCAGTTTTTTATCAATCTTTTTACTATATTTAAATTTATTAATCTTCTATTTTTTAAAAAGGCAAACCATATTTACCCTCATAGTCCGAGATTTATTTTTTACTCCTATAATTTTAAGAAGGTTCAATTTTACCTTTTGTTTATTAAATAATTAAGGAAAGGCTAGCTTTTTTAATGTTTTATTTCATTTTCTTCTCCTTTTTTTTTTTTTTTTTTTTTGGCTCTTCTCTTATGTTTTTTCCTTCAAACCCCTATATATGTAAAATATCTCACATACCACTTAAAAATCTATAAAATTAACCCAAACCCAAATTCAAAAGGTATGTTAACGGTTAGAGGTAATACTAAAATTCCTTTTCCTCATTTATGCTAGGTATATAGCTTTTTTTCTTTTCTTTTTTCTTTTTTTGTTGAGAAATATGTATGATATTTGAGATATTTCATTTGCTCACTATGATCACCTAATAAATTAAAGAAAATGCTGCACCAATTTCTTTTCTTCATACCATGAATCCTTACTAAGTTTTTTTTTTTTTTTGTCATTATTTGTGGCTGCCTTAACTGGTTGTGAATGGACGGAATAAAGACTATGGCACATGCATGTCTCTGAAAATAATATTTCATGGGATTTTTTCTCTTGAGAATATACCCATGGGATTGCATGGAAACCAAGAAACAGTGGTCAAATCAAATTTATCGGAAACTATATATTAACAAGTGATGTCCGTAGCATATTTTAAGGGTAAATCTGACATGCATATAAGAAGGAAAAAAAGAAGAAGAAGGAATCTTTGTATTGCTTAAAGAGTGACAATTTCTTGATAGAGAGAGACAGAGAGAGAGAGAGAGAGAGACGTTCATTTTAAAATTTAAAATATGACTAGAAATGATGTGTGACTATCATTGATTGATCATGCATGAAAGAAATCCCAGCTTCTTGTTAATTATTTATTTGACGAATAAAAAACCATGAGACATGAGTCTGCGTAATTAATAATAAATAATGCCTCTTGAAGCATATATATTTTGTAGCACCGTCAGCCTTCTACAGTATGTCTGCTGGAAAGATGAAGGGTCCTTCTTGGTCAAGATTGAAACCATTATTTAAATGTTTCTCTACTCCAAAATTCTAATTCTTTGTGATAGGTGAGGGTTGGATGGATCTACGTACATACCGCGCCAAAATTATTCAAAAGAGAAAGGAAAACAATTACTTTGAATATTTATGATGATTAATTAATAAGTTAATAATTATATATATAATTTGAGATTGTTTTACCTCTATGTATAGATTCAATAAATAGATAGGGATTAAAAAGATTAAAAAGTGAATCGAGATGTATCATATGTAATTAATTATTATACTAAGTCTCTCTAACTAAATTTCACCTAATCTGTGGGAAAATAATAAAAGAAACTTTGACCAGATAATTTAATTAGCTTTTCCGATATATATGGATGATTTTGCAATAAAAATATATTTTCATATATAAAAACGAGCATATTTATTGAATAAAAGAAAAATGACATAAGCCAATTAAACAGAAATCAAAGGGGAAATAGCCAAGAGACAATAGTAGAACGAGAGGAAGAGCAACAACATAAAAATTATCAATTGTTTGAATATATTATATATATTAATTAAGATGGTTTTTAGATCCCAACAGCCCCACAAAAATAAATAAATAAATAAAATAAAATAAAAATTGAAAAGGACAATATTTTCTAATTTAAATTAATTTATGTTGATCCAAAATAAGGGTACTTGGGTGATCTATACTAAAAAATTAATTAAGAAAAGCAAACCATTGATTACGGTCAAACCACAAATTGTGTATCAAGCCAATTGGAATTAACGTTAATTTCTTCTTAGATTTATTAATCAAATTGTATGAAGGCTTATCGATCTTTTTAATGGATTTTCAACTGATGTGATCAGTAAACATGCAATCTGAATTTCATGCTGATGTTTCTCAAGCTCAAAAAAGAAAAAAGAAAAAAAAAGAAGTAATTAAATTTATAACTATTTAATTTATAAAGAAAGTATAGATCTAGCACTGTATCTTGGACAATCGAGATATAATATATATTTTGCATTGCCTCTTTCAACGTTCCTAATTGATTGTGATGATTACATATATAATCTTGAAGTGTTAATCTAATCATCGATACAGTGCATGAAAAAATAATTATATCGCAAATATTTTATTTGGACCAAAACATATCTAGTAATACTAACCTAAGTTACCCTTAATTAAATAAAAAAAATACATAAAAAAGTTGAATATTTGTGTAAATCAATTAGCTATTAATTTTTTCTTTGCTTTTAGTAATTATTAAAAGTAAAGACAAAAATACAAGGGGCCATACATTAAGTGTTAGGTTGATCTAAATATTTTTTTATTTTTTATTTTTTATTTTTGGATTTTCCAAATAAAAATAGAAAAATAAAAAATAAAAACTGTGACAAAATTAAGGTAACTTAAGCTCATGTGTATCGCATGTTCCATAATTTTTAATTAGTAACAGTATTGTTCTTTTCCTTCTTCCCTGTAAGAGAGCACTACACAGAAACTATATATGGTGGTGGTCGTAATTGATGCTTTGAAATGTATTTTAAACTTTGAATTATTCAACTTTTAGACTGATTTTTTTTTTTTTTTTGAGATGCTTTTAGACTAATTAAATTAATTAACGAAGGAGCTCATATACATATAGTGCCTAATGAACCGGTGACATCAGTATAGAATATATCGAGAATAAAATTTCTTTTGGGTATTTGTTGATAATCAGCATTTATTAATAGTAATTTAAAAATAATTTAATTACCAGAGATTGATAATAGCAGTCCTGATCACTGATGATATATATATATATATATATATATATATATCGAGGCTAGGTAAGATGTAGTATAACATTATTTTGAACCCATAATTCAGACAGATGACAAGGAGACAAATCATGCCTTTGACGTGAATAAAGTGCAATACGTTCAATTACTTAATAAAAAAACACACACACACAAAAGAAGAAGAAGTTATATTTATCAATTCTCTCTTCCAACAATGCATACGTAATATTGATGCAATGACAGCTTAATATATAATAATAATAATTTGATCCTCAATCCACTTGTAGGTACCTAGTTGCAAAAGAGATTAATTTATTCGATTAAATAAAGCTTATCTTTTATGTATGATGATTTTAAAGGAACCTTTTTAATTAGAGAGATCATGCATGAGATCCGTTAAAAATGAAGAAGGAAGAAGCAAAATGAATTGAAGATTAAGTTTTCTCAATGATGATTTTCAAAAATCATAACATTTACATTCTGTTGTTCTCTTTTCATATCCAAATAATCCTAATAATGTACATTCTAGAATTTACAATGGAATAA